AAAAAAAAAAAAAAAAAAAGGTAAAACCAAAAGCTGATAATAGCATATAGACTTCATACAAGGAAAATTGACCATGACACACAAATGGTAATCAACGAACATCAACATTGAGTTCACTCACTAATACTAAGAGTTTGTTTCGATAAACTGCTCTAAAAGAACTCCTAGGAGGAAAAAAAAAAATGAAATAAGTTTCATCATAAAACTAGATTATACATAAATTGAAAATAAGTTTTTGGGAAAGTTAACACGAGAGAGCTAATACAAATTAGCTTATGAATAAGCTAATTTTAGCTTATGGAGAAGTTTAAGTCATTTTTTCTACTTACTTTTTTCCTCCTATAAGTACTTCTAGAGAAGTTTGTCTATACCGTCCCAGAGGTAATACAATACTATATTAAGAATCCTACAGATAAGTGCTATCCAGTTTCAAATCAGTCAACCCTTCTTTTTGAATCATTAAAATGAAAGAATTCATGACTTGCAAGTGAATTCCTTTCGATTATTTCACCAAATGTTTAAAGCAGTGCATATGTGATATAAAAAGATATAAATTTCTGAGCACATAAGCCCAAATGGCCCAAACTGAGTGCAACAAATAAACAAATTCCACACAACATACATTTTTCCTAGAATGTGGTAGAGTAGCTGATTAAAAGAGCAACAAGCAGTTGCAAGTATACCTCAATCTTGTCAAGCATGGCCGGGTTTGCTCTTCCTGTCCTTATGGAACTGAAATTCGTCCGTACATTATCAATAGTCCTTTCCATTCTGTTTTTCTGAGAGACAGAAATTGATAACAATACATGTATATTCAAGAATTGAAGGAAGCTAAAAAAGTGAACTTTATAGAGAGACTTACAGCATCTTTCTCAATTGCGGCCTTTTCCGCTTCTATCTCTTCAATGGTAGCAGCCCTCACAAGTGATACTCTCCTACCTTTGGAAAAAAAGGGTTTTGGAGAAAGTGCGAAAGCATGAGAGAGCTTCTGAGTTGCATAGGTTGCAGAAGAAGCGAAAGAGCGTTTGAGGGCATAAGAGGAAGAGGATTGGGCGAGGGAGAGAAGGGGTTTGGGAGGGTTTTGGAAGATGGTGCGGACAGAGGTTGTCGGAGAGAATGAGGTTGCCATGAGAGAGACACCCTGCGCCTTGTGTTGATGACGTTGTCTTGTGTTGTGGATAACAACTCTTTTCTTCTTTTCAACACATTCTTCGCCTACTCACCACACTAATCGATTACAGTGCCACGGTGTTTTAAAATAGTTTGGTGCAAAAGTTTAACAAATTTACTAAACAGTGATTACTTTTAATTTTATGAAGAGTAAGTTTGTTTATTTGTGTTACTTTTCATTTAATTTTTATTTTATTTGATGGAAATAGTGATATAAAATAATATGTTTAAAAATAATTGAAAATATTATCAACTTACTTTTTTTCTCTCTTCTAAAAATTATTACAAAGGAAATTATAGGAAAACAAAAATTCATTTATATCATTTTCTTTACATGTTCAAATACTTGCTAAGAAGGAAAAAATTCTGCATACCAAATTCCCTTCCAAGAACAAAGAAGTGCCCCTTTTTCCCTTAACATAGAATGCATTTAACAAATTACTTTTAATGAATTTATAATTTAATAAAAAAATATTTAATTGATAGGTTGTTGTATTATAGTTTTTTATATATAAATTAGTAAACAATAAAGTTGATAAACACAATATTGAAAAAAGAAAAAAAAAACTTGCATCTTTATTATCATTTTTTTTACAAAAATTTTCATATTATAACATTTAAAATAAAAGAGACAATATAACTTGGAATCAAATAAAAAGGCTTGATTATGATTTTAATCTTCCAAATTTAGGGTAATTTTTTTTTAAATTTAAAATTTATATTTCTAGTCCCGGTGATTTCAAAAAAAAATATTGGTTTAGTCTTTATACATATTCTTCTTGTTCTCAAACTTAAAACATGTGTTTTTAATTTTCAAAAATATTAAATTATTATTTTAGTCCTTTAAAATTAAATTTGTTATTTTAGTCCTTATAGTTTCAAAAATTTTAGTTCCTCATAATCACTAATAATATAATTGACTTTGAAAATTTAAGACAATTTTGTAGTATTAGTCGGTCTAATGTGTTATTTTTATCGACAATAACATTAATAATAACATAATTGATAGTAATAGATTAAGATAATTTTGTAGTATTGATTGATCTAATATAATGTTTTCACTGAGAATGATACAAGTACAAAAATTATATGTGAGAGATCAATTAATAACATTTGAGCATATGACAAAAATAATAAAATTTTTTATACTTTAGAGGTTAAAAATACATATTTTAAATTTGAGAGACTAAAAAAATAAATTTTAATTTTGAGAGATCAAAATAATTTTTTTTAATATTTTAGGAACTAAAAACATAATTAAGTCAATTAAAAAAAATACATGCATATTAGCATAAAATTTGGACTCAACCAAGCACATGGACACAATTTTTTTAAATAAAAAAAAGTCTAACAAAAGGTTGTAGTGAAATGTTTGAAAAAAAATTACAATGTCATACCATTATGATTTTAAAATAAATTGGAAAAAAAATGTCATTGGAACCTACTGAAAAATGACATGTTATCTCTCAATTGACTCCAACATCAACTTCAATATTATGTGTCTCTTTTTTGAGTCATTTTAATATATATATATATATATAT